CCTGGGGGTGGGCTGGACAGCACGGCAGAGCTTCCCTCGTTGCCTGAGTTTTCCAGACTCTTCCCTTGAAATGTGCCACACAGGCGGCACAAGCAGCTAGTCTCTAAACCCCTGAACTGTAAATTGGTTATGCTCCGACAATCCGAGAAGTCAGCAGACAGGCTCTTGGCAGTCCCCTTCCTCTTTATGGAGCTGGCCTCTGTGCAGATCTCCCCCGAGTCAGGGTCCTCTCTGGCGAGTCACCACCTGATATCTTAACAGCTGCTAAGGAAATGCAGCGTCTGAGGGGGGTGGGGGAAGAGCGAACACCACACTGAAGCAGATTGTCTTTGTACAGATGCTTTTTATTGAGATTTATATAAGCAATTTTACCAACACAGAACACCAGCCTGGCTGCTCCAAAATAACTGTAAAAGATGGTGACACTAACTGCTGAGGGAGTGACCTTAGACGTGGAGCGGCGTCTCACGTGGGACACTACTTCAAACGTGCGCTAGTAAGCCTGTACTGAAAAGGGATTATAAGCCCTCCCTGGCACAATAAATACAAAAAGAGATAAAAACAAATAGACACTTTTTTCTTGGTACAATATCTAGATTTACAACATCTAGTTTCCTAGCTTCACTTTGGATAGCAATGCACAATAGAAAATCCATTTATTCCTTTAAGGGTATTCTACTTTGCCAAGAATATAGTAAATGTGTTACCACATTGCTGGCTGTGAAACCATGAGAACAGGCAGAGAACAGGGGCAGCAGGTGGGAGGCGCCCTCCCACAGAGGCTGCCTTCATCCTGCTTCCTTGCAGCAAAGGTCCATGGCCACACGAGACCTCTTCACAATGTGGTCCTCGTTACGGGAGGGCATGTGCCTTTACGACCCCATTTGCCAAACCGTTTTGAAATAGAGAAGGGGGAAAAGCCACATTTTAAACACGCTGCTCCTGAAAGCAGCGCTTTTAAGCACAGCTTACCGTTGATAAGGAAGAGTGAGGACGGCCCTTCTGTTTAGTAAATGGAGAAATCGGGTATGACCATCAAATCTGGAGGCAATGGGAAGACCGGCTGCGGGGATTTGGCACAATGAAAGTAAGAAACATTGTTCTGGGTTGTACCTCAGACCCTACGGGATTGCTGTCCAGAAGAGATGGCCACCTGCTCAGCTCATCAGGGGCCCTCGACAATGCCGAGGTCTTAGAAACAAATCTACATCATGAGAGAATTACACTGCAGTATCTTAAAGAAATTCTTTTGTGGTATAGCCAGTCCACAATAAAGCATCTGGGGTACCTGTCAACATGCAAGAGGCCTTTGAAGAGGTAGATGAAAGCAGTATTTCAGAGCAAGTTTGCTGTCAGATGTCACAGGCGCCCACACGCGCCGCTCAGCACAGAGCAGAAGACAAACATCGCTGGGGACCATGCCCGGCAGTGAGGAGATGATCTGGCCCCACGTTGCTATATGCATTATTTAGATTTTATTGTATGAAGAACACAAAGGACTGTCATTTCTTTAAATAACAAACTATACAAATAAAAAGGAGCAGAAATGATATGGAATGTTTTTGATAAAAACAAACTTATGGATTCAATAAATAATATAAAATGCCTTTGTGCTAAAATAGAACTCTTTTGTTTTTTATATATATGTAGTTCAGTGATCTTTAGGTTACCCAGAAAAAGCCAAATCTATTATAATTAGTCGAAACATAGAAAAATACAATTTAACAAAACTAAAAAAAAAAAGGCCAGTGTTTTACTTATAAGCTACATATAATATATACATCATAGAATATTATCAACTAAGAAAATTTCAGGTGTAATATGAATACTCACAATTGCAAATATTGTCTCCATTCTCTACCGTTATATACACATATTTTAGGACAAAATTAAAAATGGAAGCATAGTTGCCCGTTTTCAGAGATGATCTTGAGATTGTTAGATATTAGAGCGCTAATTCCAATATGAATTATTTAGCTCTACAATGAAGGATCCCCCTGCCACATTTTAATTGAAATGCATAAACCATTACCCATTTTCTATAGTTTTTCATTTGTTTGTTTCTAATAAAGGCAATTTTCAATGTGAGGCCCAGCATTATCAGCCAAGGTCAGGCTGCCGGTGTGATCACTCCTGTCATTCTGCCGTGAAACAACAGCTATCTTTCTCTTTGAGGACAAAGAAAATCTGAAGTCCATTAGAACGTAAGAAAACCAAGGTGTATCATTTTAGAGTTCAACTTTCCTTTGTTCCACAGTAGAAATTTGTAAAGTGTGGTCCTCATTTAAAAAAAAATTCATATTAACATGAATTTAAGTACTTCATTAAGGCCTCTCCAGTAAACCTTATATAGGAAGGGAAAATCAGATCTTAAGGAGAAGATGTTTTTTCCTCGTTTTGAAAAATTTAAACTATTAAAGCTCACTGTAGAAATGGGCCTGGCACAAACAGCAAGGGTCTGATTGTTATCCTGGTGGCGGGGCGGGGTTCCTTACTAGAACTTCAGTGGTTTCATAACAGTATCCCCAACTGGACAATGCATTCTTAGTGACCTCGTGACCACTCCACCTGCTGGGGTTGCAACGCAGACTGACTAGGTGTTTCAGAGCTGGCTGGTGCTGACTGAGCTCTGGGCCCCTGTCCTTCACTGGCAGGCGGCAGAGGATATGCAGCAGAAGTCTCTTTGTCAGCAAGTCCCGATAGACAGCAAGTGGACTCTTAGTATGTTCAGTAGCTCCAAATTTAAAAATAAAGTGATGAAATTTTTAATTACAAGGAAGAAATCACAACAAACAAAAAATCCTCTGTTATAGAGAAAAAAAAATCCCGCCAACTCAGTCATTTCCTCAGTGCTTCATGGTGATATAAAGGGAATACTTTGACCAAATTCACTCCTTCCTTCCTTTGCCCCATGTTTGCCATGACTTTGGGGTTTCTCTCTGCAATACTCACCCACCCACTCATCACCTGTCACAGACCCGAGCTCCCCACCCAGTACAAACAAGTCACCCCCTCACGCACAGGGCTAAATCTGTCTCTGAAAGACACAGACATGTTTCCCTGAACATAACTGAGAAAAAAAAAATCACATGTGATTAAATCACACAAAGTAAGTTTTATCTTGCACCAATGCATTTTTATAGACTTACATCATATAAAAAAGGTCAAAGTTTGAGAATTTTGTTTTCTTCTTGAAATGTCAAAATTCTGAAACATTTATTAGAAAAATTAATTCTGTTGAATAGTTAAATGCATTTAATTAGCCCAACTACAAAATCTGAGTTAAAATTTAAAAATTCATCAGAAAATAAATGTGATCTTTTAAATCTAGTTAAATCCCGCCATCATTTGGTAAACAGCACTTTTTTAATGGCCATGGAGGCCTTAAAACAATTATCTCTAATATCTGCATCACACATTTCAAACTGCAAATCAAACTGAATCTTGTTAACAAATAGGTCATACATTATTTGGTACTGTTGCTCTTTATTAAGCAAAATGTTTCGTTTGCTCCGTGTGCCTTGCTCGACGTTAGGCCCTTTAAAAATATATATATAGAATTTGAAACTGCAATGTCAGTGAATTGACCAATCACAGCTATGCATGAGTACTTTGCATTAATGGTAAAACAATAAATCGATTTCTAGGAATTTTGCTGAAAAATCCTACTTAAACACAACAAAAAAGGAAAATCAATGAGCCCTGAAGACTCAAAGGGAAACATGCGCCAAAGAGAACAGGTTAAAAAGTAGACATGTAGATTCACGAAGTTTGCAATCTATTCCATGATATGTTATATAGCAGCTTAAAATACTCTGTTATTTTTAGGCTTTGCTTTGCCAATTCCTTTGAATCATGAAATTGAGACTTCTTATAATATAATTTTGCAAAAGTATCAGCCTCAGTTATTTCCCTTGACGATGTTAAAATACCCCAACCATAGAAACCTAAAATAATGAGAAAACGTGGTCTGAATTTTGCTCCTGTTAGTGGTCCAAATGTAATCAGGAAAAGCATCTAGGAATTATGTAACCTTTGAAAATTTTTTTAAACAGCCAAATACACTGAATTTTCTAGCTGACTTCTCCTTTGAACATATAGCCACCAGGTACAACCAGAGCAGTTTTTTGTCTCCATCCTGGTATCCCAGCAGACTGGCCTCTGGAGGACCATCAAACCAGACCCCAACGTACCGGGGTCACTGCCCTCAGAAGCGGCTCCTCCTCACCTCACAAAGTACTTTGAAGTTAATGTTCTCTAGATGCATTTCTGAGCCTCGTCATTATAAATCAAGGTGAGCTAAAAAGGTGTGAAAGTTCACTTGGAGTAAGCGTGAGGCAAAAGGGCTTTGGGGACATTTTCTGGTTCACATTTCTTTTCTAAAAGAGTGCTGACACTTACGTTCATCTGAAGAGAAAATGTAATTATTTTGGAAAGAGATGAAAATCTTTCAGAATGCTTTTGCTAGCTAATGCCCCAGGTGCCAGATGTGAGATGTTGAGCCCAGACTCTAAAGGAGTCCCCGAGCCTTCTCAGTAGGAGATGAGGCCAAGAGCTTCCTCACCTACGAATGCTGAGCACCTGCCTAGGAGCTGTGATCCTAAAGGTCACTACAGCCAGCCCAGCCATAACTAGCCAGGGCTGGGAAGATAGTCTTTAAAGACAATGGCGTTTATGTTGCTTATGTTTCCAGTGGTGGTTCTCTCTCTCTTTCTTTAGAAAAGGTCTCACTCTGTCCAACTCAGGCTAGAGTGTAGTGGCATCATCACAGCTCACTGTAACCTCTAACTCCTGGGCTCAAGCCATCTTCCTGCCTTAGCCTCCTCAGTAGTTGGGACTATAGGCATGCACTACCATGCCCACCTAATTTTTCTATTTTTTGTAGCGATGGGGTCTTGCTCTCACTTAGGTTGATCCTGAACTCTTGGCCTCAGGTGATCCTCCTGCCTGGGCCCCTCAAAGTGCTAGGATTCCAGGTGTGAGCCACTGATCCTGGCCTTTTTCATTCTCTTTTAAAAATGGAATTTGAATACTCTTCTTCTCTTTTAAATAAGACAATGCATATAAATAGTATAACCCACCTCCTGCACTGCAGATTACAGATAGTAGAACATACATGTTAATTTAAATCCCAATTAGTAGTTGATATGGATAACAAACCTCAAAATTCCTTTTCCAAAGTCACTCTTGTGAAATGATAGGCATTTTCAGTAAATGATCTTCCAAACTCTCAAAATATAATCTCATTAAAAAGTACTTTCTCAATGAACATAGCACACATGTATTAAAGATAGAATTGGAACCAAAATAAGTATCAAGGACAGGATACAGATAATTATGATGTCAAGTTATTTATATCGTTAGTAGTTGATTTACGGACATACAACAAAAGCATACCAGGCATAGGACAAATGTGTGGCCTTTTAAAATTGTGATTTCTGTAGTCTGATGACATGGGGGACCTCACTGGGTCTCCTAAGCTAGCATGTATCTGGGGCATAGACAGGGCATGAGGATAGTGTGCAAAACAAACATTGAGGAGGATGACGCCGGGATCAGGCAAACACGCCTGGACACGTGCATGTGGTCTCTGTCCCACAGCAACCCAGTGCAAAGCGTCCCATTCGTTAGTGACAATGTAAGTCAGGAAGCCAATCTACACCCTTCATCCATTTTGATACATTCATTCTTCAGCATTCTTTTATAACAAAATTCATTTTCCACTCTTTGTAGTTTAACCATGTAAATCAGACCTCCTTTTGCACATCCATTACTGATGCGTTTCCTGGGGTCAGGCATAAGGAACCAGCAAGACTGTCACCTGACTACATGTTACTGAGACCAAGACAGACTCACCAGCGAGCGTCCCTGCACACCAGGCATAGGGAGGCACTGTTTGTCTGTTTGAGCACACTGGGGTACTTGAAGATTTTTGAAAACTGCTACTCTCCCCCAAATCTACAACTCTACTGTGTCTCCTTCAGCATCACAGTAAACATTCCTGAGGATCAGAGCATGGACGCCTTCAATGCCTGGTCATGCCTCCCACTTGAGAATATCCCCCCATCACCCACACCGGCTCTGAGCGCCCCAGGGACAGACAGGTCAGAGGCGGGGCAGCGCACTGTGCATGGTGGTGGGGCAGGGCCTGAGTGCAACCTCCTCAGAAAACATTTTCAACTCTTAACCCAGGACAACCAGAAGTCAGTCGTAAAGTGCACAGAAGAAACACACTGTTGCTCTCCCATCCCCCAGCAGTACGGTGCAAAGACAGAAAACCAGCAGTGGCTGTTTATAGATAAAATATGGCAATGCTCGGGGTATCTAGTACCCAACTCTGAAGACTGTTACATTCCATCCTGGAAAGTTTAAGATGTGTTTGATATCAGTCATAAAAATGTAAGTGGTAAGTAGGAATCATTTCAAGTTCTAAGTTCATAGATACCAAAATAAGTGTACGGCAAAGAAAAACTTTCCTTTCTTCAGTAGTTTCAGGTGTGGGCAATGATCAGCCAGAGAAGCGAGGCTGAGCCTAAGTCATAGAACGGTCCGGGCTCCTATTAGGAGCATCACAGAGTCCTGGGGCTGCTCCACCAAGGAAGGGCCCCAGCAGTCAGGAAGTCAGATATTTGAATCCCCACATTTTTCTAAAAGGCTCTGTTCAAAGGGCTGAAGACCCCTGGTGCGGATCCCTCAAGGGAACTTCCCTGCCCCTGGGTGCTAGAGGCCATTGCTGTTTCTGTGACAGAGGGGTGGCTTTGATAACTCCACTATGTTGGATCGAGGCTTGTTGAGGAACTTTGGAGCACGACGCAGTAACCGCTGGGCCTCCATGAAGGTGTCAGTCAACTCTTTCTTCCACTGCACAAACTCCGGGTCACTCTGAATGGAAAAAAAAGTAAAAACTGTAGAAGTTGAGACAGGTCCTCCCACTTGACCAGTAGCTGTGGATGTCGCTAGTAATTACCAATAACCTTGGAACCCCCTGGGGGGCACACCCAAATGGGTGTGTGTGTGGCCCCAGCAGTGCTACCACCTGGTGGGCCAGGCTGACACCTTCTCCAGAATCTCTTGCAGAGAGAAGGAAAAGTCCACATTAAAGTCTTTTAGGACCTGCCGTGAGAACCACTGCCTTTAATTTGTCTAGAGATTACCTCTGATTTCTCAAACAACTTAAGTCTACAAAATAATACGTAGGGAGTTGTTTTAATAAATTAAAAAAGGCCTTTGCTTGTGTAATGTAGTAATGAAGTTATTAAAAATGTGTTTATATTTACTACTTTTTTATCCCTCGAAATGCACTCCTTTAAATGCACACACACACACACCTCTTTCAGCACGACACAAATAGAAAACTATTGAAGAATTAAGTTTGTGCCATAATTCAACTTACGGTAAAGAAAGATGGCATTTCCTCTCAGACAATCACTTCAGCATCTTATGTTTATTTAAATATATAAACCTTAATCTTAAGCATGCTGAAAGAGAGGATCTGGAGAGGATTTGTCATAGAACAAATAATAGTCCAGGCCCCATTAAATATAGGACAGAATTTCTAAATAGGGTAATGAAATTCCTTCATGTACTTCTTCCTGACATTTTTTAACCTTTGCTTTTTAAAAAATAATTATTAATTTGGGCGGCACCTGGAGTAGGGCACCGGCCCCATATACCAAGGGTGGCAGGTTCAAACCCAGCCCTGGTCAAACTGCAACAAAAAATATCTGGGTGTTGTGGCAGGCACCTGTAGTCCCAGCTACTCGGGAGGCTGAGGCAAGAGAATCACCTAAGCCCAAGAGCTGGAGGTTGCTGTGAGTTGTGATGCCATAGCACTCTATCAAGGGTGACAAAGTGAGACACTGTCTCAAAAAATAATAATAATAGGGTGGCACCTGTGGCTCAAAGCAGTAGGGGCACCGGCCCCCTATGCCGGAGGTGGTAGGTTCAAACCCAGCCCCGGCCAAAAACTGCAAAAAATAATAATAATAGCAATGATAATAATAACTATATTATTAATTTGCTGAAAATCTCTTGCATCTTGTGGCTTTCTTACTAAGTATGTAAGTGATAACACAGGGAGTAAGAAAAATGTTTCCTAAGTATGCAGCTGTCTTTTCTGAGTATTTATAAATTATTATTTCATCTAAGAAAAAATACAACTCACCTCACATTGCAAGACAAATTGCTTCCCTCCTTTTATTCTGAACAAAATACATTTTTTGTCTTTAATCTGAGTTTCTTCCACAGAGAGAATCTGATCCATTGTCAATAAATTTTGCTAACCAGAAAAATAAAAATTCAACATTATTTTACATTGTTGCATGATTTTTAGGTTAAATTAATAAATAATACCAAAAACTATCAAATGAGAACAAGTAAATAAAAAGGGTTTTTCTTTCTTTGCTCATATTCTAGAGAATACATACAAAAGTTCAATTTATAATATTTCAAAGAAAACTACAAAGACAGATTTCAACAAGGAAAACTAGAGAAGTTGTTCCCTCAACACAGAACTGATTGTGAATGAGTCACAAATATATTTTTGGTATCCGACACGCATCCAAATTCTATCAATAAAGTTGTGAGAGAAAAATGAAGTACTACGTATGATTCACATGTGCAACAGGTACACAGCTCAGTTTTAACTCAGCAACTCAGTGAATGCCTGGCAACCCACAGGTCAGCTTGTAAGCCAGCAATATTCTGATAATATCAAAATGATGTTTTAAATACAGGTGATTTCCTTACGAGATTTTCATACTGAGTCTACAGCATTATTGCTTAAGGTGAAGGCTATAGTGTAGTGAGTTCCTTACCATTTTATGTTTTTCTGGATAAACCCTCCAGGAATCCCAAATGCAAAATAATCATAAACTCTCATGTTTTCTTTTTCCTAATTTATACTTACAAATCCATTCATGCACAAATACGTTGAAAAGTGGGACCATTTCCTTTGAATGTGCACAGCAGTGACTTGCCAGTAGACAGCGTAATTGGTGTAAGATGCCCAGTCGGCTCATTATCCGAAAGCAGACTGAGCTTTGGGAGGTACTTTAATCCTTACCAGCCACTAAGTTATAATTCAGAGCCCCCCAAAAGAGTCTTATTACTTGGAACTCAGATCCTACATCCTAATTTTTAAAAAATGACTTTTCTGGCACAAGTGATAGAGAAGATCTTGTATATTTTTAAAGAATGCAGTAATATGCAATTGTGATCATTTGTAATTAAATGGCTACTTCACTGGCAGGGATTAAGAAATATAGCCCAAAGTTAAATATGTAAGATTTAGGCCCACTATTTTCTACTCTTCTGACTACTGGATAACTGACGGGTGGCATTATAATATGTACAAAGCAGAAACTATGTTTTTAACCTTTGGGACCCCTGCCCTGTATACACTGGCTAACCAGGCCTTCCCCAAGAGTAGAAAGCATGCCTCCCACCACAGTTGGCCCCTTCCACGGTGACCAGCTCTGGGTTCCCCATACAGCAAGGTCTTCACAAATGCAGCCTGACTCGTGGAGGGGTACAATGTTCAGCTAATTCTGTCTAAGCTCTTGAAATAATTTTAAAGGGCAGCAGCTACATCTCCCCGTCTGCCATATGATTCACTTACACATTTCCAACAAAGTAGAGACATAAAGAAATAGCATTTGGTGGCCCTGCCTCTACATCAAGTATCACAGCTGGTGACATTTGATTTGACCCAACTAAGAGCAACTGATTAATGGAGAAACTGAGAGCACAGAGAGACCTGAATCTGACACTGTCCAGCTATGTTCTTGGGTGCCAGACCTTCCCTCTGTAAGTCCGGGTGTCCTCTTTATAAAGTGGAGGTTGGACCCTCCATGGCTACTAAACAGACTGAATTTGCTTATAGCACAATCATTTCTTGGTGTCTGTGGGGGACTGGTTCTAGGCTTCCCAGGATCCTGAAATCCACAGATGCTCAAGTCCTGATATGAAATAACACAGGGTCTGCAGATCCTATGAACATCCTCCTCTGTACTTTAAATCTCCTCTGTGTTGCTTAGAATGCCAGGTAAAGGCTATGTGATTGTTCTACTGTATTGCTATCTGTATTGGTTTTTATTGTTGTACTGTTATTTTTTACCATTTTTCCCCCAAATATTTTTGATCTGTGATTGGCTGAATCTGAGGATGTGGAACCTGCAGATGCAGAGGGCTGACTATAGTTGTAATTTCTATTATTCTCATTTTACAAATGAGGAAACTGAGGCTTATGGTCACCGTGATGTGCTCAAAGTCCCTGAGACACTAGGCGGCTGATCTGAGCGCTTGTGTGTGTCTCTGGCATAGCTTTTGGGGCAGCCGATCTGAGCGCCTGTGTGTGACTCTGGCATGGCTTTTGGGGTGGCCAATCTGAGCGCCTGTGTGTGACTCTGGCATGGCTTTTTGGGTGGCTGATCTGAGTGCCAGTGTGTGACTCTGGCATGGATTTTTGGGCGGTCAATCTGAGCACCTGTGTGTGACTGGCATGCTGGCCTTCTTCAGACTCATCTGATGATGCAGTGCTTTTGACTTCACAAAAGGCCACATTCTATTTTCAGATATTAGAATGTTCTTCCTTGACTTGGACTTGACTTGGAAGTTCAAAACTTAAAGTTTGAACATTACAATCTCAGGTGTACAAGTTAAAATAGATACTCAGGGTTTAAGAGGATATACTATGAAACGTGTCAACAATATGAAATAACCTTGTGACCTTGAACATCCTAAAACTCTGTGCCCGGTGAGACTGCCTTGGACTTACCCGAGATTCCCCCTCTCCTCTCCATTCAAGTCTATTTGGAAAGAGGTAAAAATAGCGACGCTGCCACTGAGTCAGAAATGGGTTTCCCAGTTTCAACATGTACCCGTGCATAATGCAGTCTTTTCCCAGAGCGTAATCTGCAGAATACAAAATAACTATAAACTAAATAGGCTTGAGACAAAATGTCTTAGCAATATTATTTTCAAGAATAAAAAGAATGACATACTTTTTTGAAAAACCAAGTTGCTATAACTGTAACACACTATGGAAATCTTTAGTTTAGTTTGTAACACATGTGCACCAGGAATCTAGAGAGCAGAGGTTTCTTCCACTTGTTCTCTACTAACCTACCAAATAGTTGCTTCTCAAGACTCTGATAAATCAGAATGTTCCTTTACTGCTTTGAAAGGGCAAATGCTAGTTTGCCAAACTATGTTTTCATTATATACACAATAAGAATTAAAGAATAGAAAGTACTTAAATTTACACTACCTGCAGAGTACCTCTGCTTTTATATGAGAAATGGAGTCTCCTTTTAATCTTTTCTCTTACATATAATAATAGAGTGGAATTTTCTTGTCCGGGTAAGCTAATGGTTCATTCCGCAGCTAAAGGTTAGGTTCATTCCTCAAATACGTGATTATGTACACAGACAATTCACACTCACATTGAGTTCTGTTTGTATGCTTTAGGTGATATACTATCTCTTAAAAAGAAAGTTAATCTTAAAGCCTTCATTAAGGACTTTGGTGATTGTGCCAGAATCATTCATTCACTCACTTCTTCATTCAGCAATTATTATGTGAATGCCTAAGTCCCTGGCATGTTCTGGGTAGTCTGGATTCAGCAGTGAACAAAAGGGAATGAAATCCTGCCTCAGGGAGCTTAGAATCCAGTGAGAGATTTGGGAAATAATTAAATAAGCAAAACCCAGTGGTGATAGGGGGGCATTTATGGAGTTGCTATTTTAATCAAAATAGTGCTTGTATTTCCAAAGTCTATTTAAACTAAGAGTGTAATCATCCCTCTAGTATCCATGGAGGATTGATTCTCGGGCCTCTACAGATACCAGAATCCTCAGATGTTCAAATGCCCAAGATGGCTCAGTATTTGCATATAACCTATGTACCTCCTCTCATATATTCTAAATCACCTCTAGATTACCTATAATACTTAATACAATGTAAGTGCTACATAAATAGCTCCTTACACTATATTGTTTTTTACTTGTATTATTATTATTTTTTTTTTTGAGACAAAGTCTCACTCTGTCACCCTGGGTAGAGTGCTAAGGTGTCAAACTCTCAGGCTAGAGTGATCCTCTTGCCTCAGCCTCCCAAGTAGCTGAGACTACAGGTGCCCGCCACAGCGCCCAGCTATATATATATTTTTAAGTAGAAACAGGGTCTCGCTCTTGCTCAGGCTGGTCTGGAACTCCTGAGCTCAGGCTAACTAATACCTTGGCCTCCCAGAGTGCTAAGATCACAGCTGTGAGCCACTGTACCTAGCCTGTTTGTATTATTTTTTATTGTTATATTATTTTTTCCCAAATATTTTCAATTTGTGGTTGATTAAATACACTGATGCAGACCATAGATGCAGAGGACCAACTGCGTTGGACCCTTTTCAGAGATCTACAACTAGACTATATGTGGCTGTGAGGTGACTTCTGAGATCATCAACCGAGACCTAGCCACACATGGGTTGGCTATGAACATGTAAAGGTAAGTTGATTAATCTGCAGGTGGTCTGTCTAATTAAAAAGATCCATTTCAACAAGGTCATTAAGGTGCATATTGTCAGGATTCTAGTGACACTATGGCCCTCCCTTGAGAAAATCAGCATGTATACAATTTCTGTATAAAATCTGCTATGGCAATTAGCGCAGGTGATGGCTACAGACTAGTCGTCTAAAGAAGAACTGACAAATGACAGCTGTGTCCCTGCATAACGGAGGCGAGCAGTTTACAGATATACAGTATTCCGTTGGTGTATTCTGGCAACTTTTATATCTGGGGTAAGTCATCCAGGATTGAGGATACTTTAAATACTATAGGAAAACTGACAGATGAGACCAATGGCCCTTCTGCTTCCTCTGAATGAATCCTTTGCCTCCACCAAAGTAACCTACTAGGAGAGTAAAAATATTTCTGGTAAAATATTCTTCTTATATAAGGTTAACCTCCTAAGAATCTTTGCTCAGGGCTCCATGCCTGTAGCTCAGGAGCTAGGGTGCCAGCCACATACATTGAAGCTGGCGGGTTCGAAGCCAGTCCAGGCCTGCCAAACAACAATGACAACTGCAACCAAAAAAATAGCCAGGCATTGTGTGGGTGGCTGTAGTCCACTACTTGGGAGGCTGAGGCAAGAGAATCTTTAAGCCCAAGAGTTTGAGGTTGCTGTGAGCTGTGATGCCACTGCACTCTACCCAGGGTGACATAGTGAGACTCTGTCTCAAAAAAAAAAAAAAGGAATCTTTACTCAGAGGAAAAGTGAAATATTTTACCATAATCATCAATTACACTTAGAAAAATCCAAAATCCATAAGATCTTAGAAAAAACCCAAATTCATAAAAATCTTAGGAAAACCCAGAGCAACAGTATTTAGTGAATCAAGAATGATTAATTTATTTCATTTATTTCTCTATGTTATGTTTCTTACTTTGGAAATCCTAATAGGGCACTCAATTATTTAAAATTAAAATATGGTTAGGCAATTCCTTGATGCTATTTGTAATAAAAACGTATTTACACATTTATCTTTCTTGTTGAGTAACATGTTATACCAAGTTCCTTATCAGGACTGGCTACATACATCTTGGGGTCCAGCACAAAATGAAAATGTAGGCCCTTTGTTCAAAAATCATTAAGAATCTGAGATGATGAGGCCTGGTGCCATATATGACCACATAGGCCTCACATCAGTGGCACCGGCCCTGTTTCTGGCACAGAAATATTCATTCTTCACTGAAAACCATTTCCAAACTAGCCCCCAAACACTCCAAGATAAGAGGACATATTAAAGAAACACTGCTGCCTCCTACTATATTTATGTGTCCACTGAAGACTGAAATATTATCCTGCGCTCTTCTAAAACAGAGAAAACTAAAAACAATTTGTGGTACTGCCACCTTCTCTGCTGCAGAATACTTTATGACCCAAATACTCTTTCAGCTTTATATGACAGTTTGAAAATTCATTGCATTAGAAATGCATTGAGACACGTTCATTATTTTACCTTCTTCATGGCCAAGTTGCTTATTTTTAGCTCTCTTCCTGGCCTCGATTTTATCTGTGTCTGCATTTACTGCTTCATAAACTGTTTCGGCTACTTCCTGCTGCCAGCGTTCAGAGATTACCAAAGGGAAGTTCTTGTAGAGTTCTTGGTCGCAATCAAGCAGCTGATTATTTTAAGAAATCAAGACATTCATGATTTAACAGACTTATAATGGCAACAGAGTCAAGAGTGTGGTGACTGGGTCAGAACTGTACATAGGAAGATGACTAGGTGATAGTAAGGATCTTTTAGAGACAGCTCAGTAGTCATGATGAATCTCTGCTGATGACAACTCAAGCAACCAGGGGACCCACAAACAGAACTGAGTAGCACTTCATGCTCAGTCCCAGAACAGGTGGGCTTGGCCCAATCTTCTCTACTGTCTTCTTGCATTTTTGCTGATGAAATATTACAGATTCAGTTTCACCTAAAGATTGACAGATTGACTGAAAGATTCTGACAACAAAGTAAAATTTGAATTTATGGTGAGGATAATTTATTTATAAAAGTAGATCCATATAGTTTTAGAAACAATTATAAGGGACAAGATGGCTTTCTAACCAACTCTCGATGAAATCTGAAATGTTAGAAAAACAAAAGGTAAACTAAGCAGAACTTACTATTATTAATTACATACACCTTTAACCATTTAAAGTTTAACAGTATAAAGCACAAAATACATGGACAATTTAGGCAACACAGCCTTTAAGAGTTGTTATAATAAAAATTACATGTAATGATAGCATTTTTCTATAAAATAATTACTTGAAATCCTTCATTCTGCCCTCTAGGTAAACGTGAACTTTGAATATGAGCAAAGAAAATGGGTTAATGTATCAGCTCTAGTTTTATGGCAAATGCTAGCAGTGTTTCTCATAGGGACACATTTGTCTTACTGGAAGCACAAAACCCCTCCTCTGCCTGAGATAAATGAGGATAAATATCATGACAGACAAGATATTCAGAAGGACAAGAAAGAGTAAAGAGTCTAAGGCCCCTGCCCACAACCCTCTAGTAAATCAAGCAAGCTTTGGAAGAACGAGCATCACACATCCCAACCTGAAGACTGATGCAGCTAGTCTTAACTGGCAACTTGCAACCATGTGTCGATTTTGAGATCTCTTTGATTTATAGGAACTTTCCCTCTTTTTGTTTTGTTCGGATCTCTAATCTCAGCCCAGGCTATTATAAAATCCTTGGTTGTTCTGAATGTGACCAGAGGCATGGGTGTGTGCGTGTGAACCATGGGTGTTACAGACCCCCAGGCCCTGTGAGTTCCCGTGATCAGGCACACTGGGACAGAGCTTGAGAAGTCAGGCAACAGTCAAAACATACTCCCTTCCCAGGTAGCTGTTCTGAAATGGTCAATTCTGCTTTATAACATACTATTCTATCTCCTGCAACTTCAGAAAGCCTGGTGCTTTATGACTCAGTGTATGGTGCTGAAAATAAATAATTAAAAAAATTTTTTTTAATTTTTATAAGAGGTAAGCTTCCCCCCTTACCCCACCCCACCCGGTGGTTTAAAAGAAGAACATACTATTTGGGCTGCTTGCTAAAGTTAAACCACAGATAATTTGTTAAAATGCGGTTCCCCCTGGACTTGGCCATCCCAGAGCCAGGACCTTGGCACTCATTTGCAGGTTTGCAGCCGAGTCCCAGCTGCTCATGACTTCTGGATCTTAGTGTTTGCCTTCTCAGCTCTTCTCAGGAGGAACCCAAACCATAAGAGTAGAACTACCAGTTTGTTCCACGCTGACTATATGCCGACAGGCGTAAGCAGGTCATGTCATTTATGCTCAGAGAAAGCACAGCAACAAAACCACCCACCCTATAGATGAGAAAACCAAGACTCAGGAGGTGATGGGATGGCTCAGATTCACTCAGCTGCTAAGTGTCAGATCTGAGCCCAGTCTGTCTTACTCCAAAGCCCAGATTTTGGTTTACAAAAGTTTAAAGTGTAAGAATCTCTTTTTACCATCAAAAATTGTCAGGGGCTCCCACATAAAAGCAGTTTTATTTTTAGCACCCTTTGATGGATAGTGGTACAGTTGATGACAAGAGTCTATTGTGATGGCAGTAATCCTTTTCAATAGCACTGTAAATGCATTGTTCCCTAAAGCACTAGTGCGTAGTAGTACTCAGACACCTGCCAGCTCTTGATGGTGCAGGCACAGGCTGCTGTTCCCAGGACAGCCACTGGTCCAGACCACAGATGGTGTCTTTGCCTTGGCTAGCAATCCCCATAGCCCATGGCTTGGGCCCTCTGCACTTTGCCCCCATCTAACTTAAGCCTCCTGAGAAGACAGTCTGTGAATTCCCCAGTCACCTTTATCACTCGGCCCCTCCTCTCTCCTGATGCCACCTGCTCTGACCAGCTGCACTTGGTTCTGAGCTACCTGATGCACTGGCCTCCACATGCTGTGCTCAACAGCTGCTCCTGTCCCCTCAATCCTCCTGTCTTCCTCTAGAGTCCAGTTGGTCCACGTCCTGTGTGTGTCCAGTTATAGACCCTGCTACACCCTTTCTTTTTACCTGCCACTCTTTAATCTACAACCGACCGCAAGTGTTTCAATAGTGCTTCTGCCTTCTGGAGCGGGAAGCTATGTGGCAGGGGGTGGGGGAAATGAGGGGCATCAGACAGGTATAATGCAGGCAGGGGGTGGAGGGTGGGGATGGGAGAGCCTGGGGTGAGCTGTCAGTGTGGGGGTAGATGACAGGTTGACATGGAGTTTTGATACGCTTTGACTTAGCATCTTAAAGGGGATGATTTTCTCTCTTGACTCACCAACTCTAATTATGTCTTGTCTTCACTTGGAGAATAATGATATGAACGAAAGTTTGAAAAATGCAGAGCATTATATAAAAAACAGTGATTATTTCCCCTTTGATTGACAAATGCAAAATGATTCATGCTGTTTGCTCTTTTCATCCTAAGACAGGGAGATCTAAAGACTTGGAGAACTGAGATAACTGGCTTTTTTGCACTAGGCTAAGTATGTTTGATATCACACAATTGGTATTTTTTCCTCCTTCATATACTTAAGTTTTATTTCAATCAAAGAAATTCCAAATCGATGAAATTGTACTATTCTGCAACTCACTGAACATAAGATTATTCAAAAGAAAGTTTTCATGGCTTTAGGTTTCAAATACATTCTTCAAACTAAACAACCCAATACTAAAACAATCGCTAAGATTAGCCAATTTCTAACAGAAAAAAAAGAGAGGCTACCTTAATGCCTTTGGTATCCTCTTCATCAAATGAGCCGATATCGAAGGCGTCAGCAGCATTGACCTCTCCACGGGGGGGAATCAAGGGTGGTGGGTACTGGGAGATCCAAGGAGCATGGCACAGTTACCACATGACCATTAGGTCCTGTCCCAACCTAACACCCCACACAGAGGACACACTCAGGATGTCAGCATGCTGCCCCCTGGGCGCAGACGTGGCTCAAGCTTTACACAGGTCATATTACATATTTCACATCAGAGCCTTTGTCTTGAACACCCCAACAGCCCTTGCTTTGAATAGCCCAAAGTTAAGGAGAAAAGGGCCAATTTCTAAAGTCTTAAACAAGTCTTACATACAACAAAGTCTCAAGACAGCATGCTCCCCCAGCTCAACCTGAGAAGGCACATTTTCTCAGAGGAGACAGCACCAATTTTAGGTTGCTCAAGCCGTAACAGGTGTGGGGGCTAGGCAGCGGCCTGGCACCTGTAAACACCCTGAGGTCAAGGCTAACTGAACAAGGGGTCAGCCTGCAACTCTAACCAGGCCGCACCGAGAGACTAGTTCCTCTTAACTGCAGAACATCATCCTTCCTCTGTAGCTTGAGATGAGGCAGTAAGAAGCCCAAAGTTGATAGTTGAGATTAAAAAAATAGTAATTTGCTGTGTTTCCTTTATCAGTGTGGACACAACACAGCTTAAAATAAAGAAAGGGGATTATGCTGATACAAAACCATGCTAATTCTTAACTTATGCAGTACTGAGTTAGAAAATATATATAAACTTAGGACAGAAGTTTCTTGTACATTTTTATATAGGTCTGTGTAAAAATATGGTCACATTTTGAGAGAAGAATTCAAGAAGATGAGCTAAAACTAAAAAAAGGTCTCAAATATATGTACATTTGAATTAGCTAGAATACAGCTCCACTTTGTCTTTCATCAATCTATACAGAAGATATCTTCAAAAATTTATACTAGGGAAAAGAAGAGGGAGAAGTTGCCCCAAAGGGATTTGGCCACATGGTAACACTTAGGTAGCAAAACCCTGTGGACACAGGACGCTGGGCTGGGTCTTGGGGGACACAGCCAGGAAGCCAGGAAGCCAACAGTATTTACAGAGACCAAGACAGGGAGAGAGGGGGAGAAAGAGAGAGGGAGAGACCAGAGACACCAGGGCACAGGGCGGCAGCGCCCAGCGCAGAGCCCCGGAGCGAAGGCCTACCTTCTGTAAGTAAACATGCTGCCAGTCGATGCCTTTGAAAAAGGTGTGCTCCTTCACTTCCTGTGCACTGGAGGAGAAGGAAAGAGTGGTAACAAGAGTGAGTAGGCATCTGGCAATGTAAGAACTACAGACATGCCAAAGAAATGGATACGCATCTTAAACGAAAAAAGCGTATTCAAATTGTAATACTCTGGGCAGCGCCTGTGGCTCAAAGGAGTGGGGCACCGGCCCCATATGCCGGAGGTGGCAGGTTCAAACCCAGCCCTGGCCAAAAACTGAAAAATAAATAAATAAATAAATAAAATTGTAATACTCAACATGTATCAATAACAAAGATGAATACAAGGCGCACTTGACTTCTGCAATTATGAGAGGTGCTCAAAGTGGTCACCATCTGCGTCTAGACACTTCTGATTACAGCAAACTGCTGCTTGAGTGGCACTGACCAGAGTGTCCACTGGCAGGGCTGCACATGCTTGTTTCAATTTCTTCCCGAAGTACCACTAGTGTAGCCGGACACCACAACCTTCATGGTCCCCCATAGGTAGAAGTCAGGAGAACGGAGATGGGGAGGTGGGTGGGGAATCACCCACACCTCTTTGTCCTACTCATTGTCCTGGCAGGACAGGGCAGCTCTCAGATCTCAGTACTTGTAATAATCTTGGGATGAAAACTTCCTACTTTGCTGTTTTGGGTCCTGTACTTGTTCTGTGAACTGCTGTCTGACATGCACGCTGTACGGTAGACTTCTGGGGTGAGCAGGTGAACTGTTCCAACACCACCAGAAGTGGCAGGACTTGTTGCTGTGAGAGGCCTCCTGGATCCTCCTTGTGCCATTACACACCCAGCACTGTGTGTCTCACACTCGTCACAAATCAGTGCAATTGTTAGGTGGTTGGAGGTTCTGTTGCACACTCATGCCACCTTCAGCACTGTATAACTGCGTTTTTGAGTTTCATACACCAATTCAAAGTGTGACAGCCATGCTTCTGCCATTTGCTTTGACTGTCCTGCCTATCGCATGGTGACACCAGCATTCATTTGATTAATGCCATCTTTTCAGTGAACGATAAACTACACATTGCTACTATAATTCAACTTAAAAAAGTAACACATAGATAACATCTCTTAAAATGTGTATACATTTTTTGACATCTCCCAAGTATTTTGTTAAAATCGTCTCCTACTAAGAACACAGAGGGACAACTATTTCTAGATCTTTAAGAAAGCAAGGGAAATGTTTCCTTCATAGCAACAGAGGAAACTCTGTGATGTTTAGACATGCTGTCTGTTACATCTAGGAATATTATTCCATATGACCATTTATTTGGAATGTTTATTTTGGTTTAAGATAATGTATAAGTTTCACAGATATAGGTACACACATGTGTACATACACATGCAATAATTCCACAGTCATGAGAACATAATTGAAAGAATTAACTTGGAGATTTACACTTAAAGAAATTAACAGCACATGTCTGCACATCACGATCAACAGTATAATAGGAAAATGACAGGAATGTGAAGCACCACATATCTACTTAGAAACAAACCAGGAATCTAATAATACAGTGCATACAAACTCCTTTGTGAATGTAAGGAACACATTTTCTTGAAGTCATGATTAAAATCAGTGGACACAGAACAGAAGCTGCACACCCTGGGCGTTCTCTGCCCATAGGGCCCAGAGCTGGCTCTCGGGAACTCTTCCTCGGCAGTCATCCTCCCATTTTGGAGCATTTTGCCCAGCCTGAGGTGTTGAGTGACTTTATTTGCCTTTATATAACTCCCAAGTCTATGTCTTGAGCACCACCCTTTGTCCTGTGCTCCAGAAGCTCCCCCTTCAGAGCTGCACCTGCTCATGCCAGGCTGGACTCATCCTGGACGCTTCTCTTCCTTCATATTCCTCAGCTGTCCAGGGCTAGTGTCAGACCTGACTCCTTCCTTCCTACCTCACCTCGGTCTCCACTTCTACCTACCTGTAGTCTGTGGTCCCACTCAACTCTATACGGTGCGCAAATAATCTTCTTCTTTTTTTTGGCTGGGGCTGGGTTTGAACCTGCCACCTCTGGCATATGGGTCTGGTGCCCTACTCCTTTGAGCCACAGGCACTGCCCCCAAATAATCTTAAACGAGCTCACTGCTCCCCTGCTCACAACCAGGCCCAGTGCCTTAGAGGCCTGGCTCTTCTGGATCACAGCAGGCCTGATCCTGCCTGGAAGCCCCCCTCATGGACCCGTCCCCCTAGATGGCCATGCCTGCCTCGTACACAGCCTCAGGCCAACACTTAGGATCTGGCACTTGGCGTGTGCCCTGCAGATATCCATGAGATGAAGGAAGAATCCAAGGCAAAGCGTGGCCCTTTGTATTTTCAGAAAAAACACTGAGATGATTTTCCTGTTCTGCTCTATTTTGTGAGGATTGATCATCATCTACACATTAAATGTGGAAATCTAAACAAGAAGTTTGCTTGCACATGTCTAAGCCATTACAAATACCCCCGAGAAAAGTTTCCGGTCCAAACCTGCAATAGAGCACAAGCATGCAACTTTGCTCCTTCCCAGTCATCACTGAAGTGCTTTGAGAGGAACGTGGAGACATCAGTCCACCACAGAGAGCGAGAGAGGGTCATCAGCAGACCAGACAGGGGTGCACAGAAAGTTGGCGCCTGACGGCAGAGGGGAGCAGAGTTACTGTCCCAGGGACAGCACCAATGTGCTGAGTTTTAGCCTCATCACTGTGTGTGGTTGCAGGTGAACCACAGGCCTGTACCTGCATGCATACATATGTGTACACATGTGTACACCCACACATACCATACTTCCTTCTCCCATCAACCCCCCCAAATATCTGCAACTGAATATTCTAACAGGAGGGAAACCTCTGAAATATTCTACTTTTAAGAAATTAAACCTTCTAAAGATTTCTTTTAGAAAAATCAATGAAACGGTTGGAAATTTAAACTACCAGAAAGTAAAACACACCAGTCATGGTGGCTCACACCTATATCCCAGCCCTTTGGCAGGAAGATGGCTTGAGACCAAGAGTTCTAGACCAGCTTGCATAATACAGAAAGACCCTGTTTCTACAAAAAAATAAAAAAAAAAATTCATCTAGGTGCAGTGGTGTGCACCTGTATTCCTAGTTACTCAGGAAGCTGAGGTGGGAGGTCATCTGAGCCCAGAGTTGAAGGTTGCAGTGAGTTATGCTTGTCTCACTGCACTCCAGCCTGGGTGACAGAATGAGGCAAAGAAAGAAGAGAGGGAGGGAAGGGGAGGGGAGAGGAGGAGAATCAAAATAAAGATCTAGAAAATATACCAGACCAAGAACCTAGAGGACCAATCCAGAAATCCCAACATAAATCTAATAGGAGTCCCTAGAGAAGTGGAGGAGAAGACATGTCAAATGAATGAAATACAAGTGTTCCCCAAGCTGAAGAACACGCATCTTGGAGCAAAAGGGACTCTAAGTTCCTGCCATCAGGAGTAATAACTGAGCTCCATGGCCAGCACTGACTGTTCGCCTGTACACAATCAAGTAGTATCTTCAAAGGTCTGGGGGGAAATTATTACCAATTTAAAATTCTATATCTAGAATTATTATCAATTTAGAATTCTGTATCAGTCAAGTTTGAAGACAGCAGAAAGACATTTTAACTCACATAGATTCTCCCTACAGAATTGAGAACAAGCTCTAGTTAAAAGGGCAGGGGCTCCCAGGAAAGCCCAAAAGGCAGAGGATGAAATATATGGTGGAGTCAGACCTGCAGAGTAAAAGGGGGAGTGTTGAGTGGGACAACGTTCAGCAGACAGAGAGACAGGCCACAGTTCTCACTGGATCTGCAGGCTGAGTTCTCCACGAGAGAGCAATTGGGGGAAAATGAAAACCTACAATTGTGAACAGTCTTTTAAGATACATATCATATGACATCTATTACCTATATTGTGTGTATACATATATGTATATAAACATACTATCAGGCTAAATAGAAGCTATGCAAGGACATTTATGTTGCCATCCTAGAGTAAGTACTACTCTATTTGCAACCTTTGAAATCAGTCTATATGTAAAGTACAATGATTAATTATAACTGATTATGATCATAGAATAAACAGTATCAAGATGACAATGTAAAAATAAAATTTAACATGACAGAAATTAGTGAGAGAGAAGAAGACAATGAAAGACAAGAATGTCAAAATCCTCGTGTGAAGTGGGGACTTAAGAATACACTGTCCACAGCTGATGGAAAGGGGCACACCTGGTTAGGTCTGTAATTTAAAGACTCAAAGGTAAGCAGAAAAGAAGCAAAAGCAGAGGTGAGAGAAAGGGAGGGCTAAAGAGAATACTGAGTGAACTAATCTTCATCTATTACAGTAGGAATTGTAAAATAAGGAAATATGCATATGAATACCTAATTTAACTATCCATATTATACCTATATATAGGTACAATCTGTATGCATACATACATGCTACTCTAAAAATGCGTGTACACAGATCCAGCAGAACTTCTGTATACTGACCACTCAAGGGACTGGGGTAAACAGAACAAACTGGTCAACAGACAGAAGTGGTCAGCATAAGGAAATGGGCCTCGTGTACTGACACGTACATGTGGTGCACGTCTGTTCACGTCAGGTCAACTTGAGGAGGTGGTACATGAAGAGACGTGGTCAACTACGGAGGTTCTACAGACATACATGTGCCAGATAATTAACAGTTGCTTTGTATGGGACACTGTTAGCTTTCGTGACATCATGTTTGAGGATTCTGTGGGTGGGGGTGGGCAATAAGATGAATGACAGTTACTCAGTTATGCATGAAAGAAACCATGTGACAACCTGATCAGAATATCAACCTGTCATAATTACTAAAAAAAAATTACTACAACTTAACCAAATGGACTATGAAATATTTGAATTTAGTTCTATCATCTGCAAAGTCAATTTCTAAAGCTGAAAAGTTAGTGACTTCGATGTCTTAATCATAGAACACAGACGACAACTTAACATACATATCCCATGTGATTTTTTTTCCCCTCAACTCAAAGTGAAAGATTTTAAGGCCTAGGAATGATTTTTGAGATACAATATTAATGATTAACTATTTCACTTTTGGGATAAAGATACCAAAGGCAGAAGCAGGGGCCTACCTGCCTCCGTGACAGCCCAGTCGCTCACTGACGTCTCGCTGAAGCAGGCCCTCTAAAAGTGACTTCAGTTCAGGAGAGAAGGAGTCTGGGAGTTCCACATTCTGGGGAAAACAAGACTTAAGATGTCAAAAATCCACTCAGAGAAACAGTGCCCTGACAACCAGCTAGATTTAAAGGCTGTTTCTTGGATAAAAATAGTATTAAATTGCAGATTCATTATGAATTAATATTTACTCGAAAGAAATATAAAAGGATTACTAATCTGTTGTAAAATCAATCAGCAGGCTAGGGCCAGGTCAGGAGAACCAGGAGGAGACCTCCGCATTCTTCTGCATCTCGGTAATTTCTCTTTTTATTTGCTTTCTTTAGTTTTAATCATGATTTTCTATCTTTCTCATCATATTTATTAGCAAGATCTTGATTTTTGCCTTGTCATTCATTTAGTTTTTCTTCTAGAAATTTTTAGGAATTGTATCTTCATTTATTTGTTTCAAGAAAGCAAATTTTTATTTTTACATATTATATTCTTATAGTACTTTACACTATATTTCATATATATTTATGTGATAGTAATTTTACTCTTGATGGCAGAAAACATGAAAGTCATGTTGCAGATAAGAATCAAGTTTTAATTTCCTTACCACGGTGAGTGTCATTCGGTCTATCTCGTGCTTGTCTTTGGTTTTATGTTGTCTGAAAGGGCTGTGACTGCAGAAATTAAGAACATTCTATTAAAATACAGCATCTGATAACTCAGCACATATCACTGAGTGAAGTACTATGTCCTGTTACTGTTCATTCAAAATCATAGAAATGTAAAGGCCGTAAACATTTATCATATTCAGAGCAAAACTAGGGGAAAATATATTAGGCCCTAGAAGAGCAATACATCTTACTTAAACTGCCTCATTCTTCTGACAATGAAATTATGGCACTAAAATAAGCTTTTCCAACTGAAATATCACTAGAAAAAAAAATTAGCCAACAGGTACTCATAAAAATGGAAGTCATTTATATAACATTTGTCATGTGAGGGGTAGAGCTAACCATAACTTTTATATTTTTGTTTTCAGAACAATATGTGTAAATGTTGGTCCCTCAAACAACCCAACATGATCAAGGTAAACACAGTTCACCCCTAGAAACCAATAATTTTAAGCAATAACTCCCTGGGATGAAAACTGAGATAAACTAATCACACGCCAGCAGATCTTCCAAAGTTCAAGGGCTCACTCATGTTTTACTTGTGCAAGGCCCCAGACTTGGGTCAGAAAAGCAGAGGTCAAGTGGGGGCTTGATGTTTATTGGCTGTGAGCCAGATATAAACCTTCAGCATCAATTTCTTCATCTGTAAAATGGGGATCCTGCCACATCCTCTTCACAGAAGTGAAGGGCAAAACTGGCAGTCTATAGGAGCTACCGGATATAGTAATCATTTGTGAAATCAGTACAGTGACTCTTAGTTTATAAAATGAATGTCCACTTGGGAAAGTGCAGCATGTCCCAAAGGTCACCACACAAAGGGAAAATTAACAAACTTGTATTATATTTTATTCTTTAGATTTCTATGTCAAAACATAGAGAAATATTTTGTAAAATTCTGCAATCAATATTTTTTAAATAAAGGAACCTTTAGTTACAATTCCCCATTTTCCCAAGGTATGTATGGTGGCCTGGGGACATCCTGGTACTCTTACTCTTTATCACCATGTTTTTAAAACTCTGGAGTTTTCTAGAGAAGTTGGCTTTTAAAGGAACTCTCATCATTAAAAGATACTATTAAATATGCAAATAAGAAAACTATGGCCAAATTGATTTACTTATCTGACAATTAATGAAGGGTTATAGACGATGGTGTTTTTTTACAATAAGACACTCCAGTAAAGTGACTAATCCTACACATTTATCTATAGGAAATACATGACTTAATCTGAGGCAAGATATTATGTAAAATATTTTAATATTAACTCCATAAAATGGATTAGACTGTTGAACATATGAATCAAGAGAATCCTAAAAAAGAATTAAAATTCCACTTATCCCTCCTGGCACTGCTACTTACTGCTATTGAGCTGGTCATCCTGCTGATTTAAGTTATGCATTAACCATCTCTTGAAGAGATTATTGCATTTCTCAGCCTTAAACACTTTAATTTTCTTTTTGCACAAGAGAGGGCACTCTAACGCCTTATTTTCTTCCTTTCCATGCGATAAAAAAAGTAATTTCCACCTTTTAAAAACATTAATTTGAAAAAAAAATTGAAAGATAAATTAGCACCAAGCAAGCATGGGCTACTCTTTAAAATAGGTTTTGACTGGAAATATTCTTTTCATCTTGTTTCCAAGGAATAAAATGTATAATTACTACATTTAAAGGAGCCCTCCCTATTTGGGAGGCTGAGGTAAGAGGACCACTTGAGCCCAAGAGTCTGAGGTTGTCATGAGCTAAGATGATGCCACTGCATTCTACCCAGGATGACAAAAAAAGATCCATGGGCAGGGCCTGTGGCTCAAAGAGTAGGGCACCAGCCCCATATATTGGAGGTAGCAGGTTCAAACCTGGCCCTGACCAAAACTGCAAAATAAATAAATAAATAAAAAGATCCTTCTCAGAAAAACAAACAAAAAGCATATAGAATATAAAAACATATATAAAAATACTATAATACACAGGCGGCACCTGTGGCTCAAAGGAGTAGGATGCAGGCCCCATATACTGGAGGTGGTAGGTTTAAACCTGGCCCCACCAAAAACTGCAAAAAAAAAACCCCAAACAAACAAATAAACAAAAAAAAACCCTATAATTTTAAAAAATACAAAATTTTATCATTCTTTTTTACACAGAATCCACAGAAGTATTAACATGCTTATAGTGCCAGGGAAAAGGATTAAGTGTTTATTAAATCTCATTAAAATCTTGGTCTCTACTTGACAGCTGTTTCTACCCCAGGATGGTCCTTACTGTTTAAAAAAGATTAAGTGACAACGATCTCCTTGTGTTCTGGCAAATCCCCTGGACTTGTCTCCTGTGCCCAAAGCTGGAGGACCCCATTCCTGCACGCGACCCTGCGTCCTTGCATCTGATGCAGGAAGGAAAGGGCTGTGCCTTGACCTTGCAGGAGGCCTGCTGTGCTCTGACACAAACACTCTGTGCTAAATTTAAAAAGTCTTTCTTGAGACTACAGAGAGGCTTGTGATGGGACTGGAGTTAGAGTCACTGGTGCCAAAAACACTTCTAGCACATGGGCCTTACTGCTACAAATTCCATTACAAATATAGCGATTCCATGTCCGGCTCAGTAAGAGATGATGGGAAAGTGCTCTCCAGCTCTTCGTTCTGTGCTGCAGCGCTGAGACAGTCTGGTATCCCAGTTAAAATCCTAATGCGCATCTGTTTCCAATGTGTTCTTGATTATTCTTTGTGAACAAAGCCAAAGACTTGGTTTCTATTTTGGAAAATGTTAAAGAAAACCTACGGTAGTAATAATCTCCATTCTGAGGGAGGCACGTGGGGCTCGCAGATCCTGTGTGATCGCAGCTGCTCCCTGATGCAGTCTGCTTTAAATAGGCGACAGCAACAGGCCTGTCAACAGCTTACAAGGCAGAGCCAAGTTCTCCAACACCACAGGGAATGTTGTGGGAAAAGAATTCACATGTGCAGTGGTCAAGTGTGGCTTTCTGAACTATGGGTAGAGAGACATCTGCACACTTCCCCCCAGTGAGCTGGGAAACTGTTGAAGGGAGTATAAGGATGGAGAGACATGTATGCCCAGCCCACGTCAGTGTACCCCAGTCACAGGGAAACGATGATGGGGGGCACGCACGCCCAGCCCACGTCAGTGTACCCCAGTCACAGGGAAAC